CATGCTTGTCCTGAAAGGACTTCCTTTGGGGGCCCACCTCCGACACGCTAACATTTGCCTGCCCTGAAGGCTGCTAGTGTTGCCTTGATCTCTGGTGTTTGACCCTCCTGTGCCTGTAGCAGGCGGTGCACTTGATCCCCCACTGGATCCCCACCCCTCCCCCAAACTGTGTAATGGAAAGGGCATAGAAGGATCATGCACAGACTCCATCTTGGTAGTCCCTCCAGGGCTACCTACGTGCTGCATGTATTTCCTGTATGTCAGAATAAACAGCAGATGTCCCTTTGATCCTACACCCCCAGCACAATCTCTCGGGTTTTTTCTCATCAAACTGCTTTTTTTCTTGTCATTAGACAGAAGGAGGGCCTGCATCTCCTGGTAACTCCAGGCTGGGAGTTGTAGGCCTTTTTGCTGTCTAAATAGGCATAAGCTTGTGCCTTTAATCCAGCCCAGCCTTCCCCAACCTCCAGATACGTTGAGGCACAGTTTCCTCATCCATGGGTGTGCTGGCTAGAACTGATGGATGTTGTAGTAACGCATTGGCAGTGCAGCAGTAAGGGATAGACTCGTCTATGATGGCAGGGGAAATACAACCAATGACCTCGTAGGAAGGTTCACTGCCTAGGAAAAACTCACCATGAGATTCTCAGGGACACTTCCCAGCTCAAGCAAAGCCTCTTGGAAATCACACACTGGACCAGCAAGACATGAAGACGAGACGTCAGAAGGATGATGTACGCATCTATTTTACACTATTTAAAATTCTGGCAGCCTATAACAGCTTTTTGCAAAAATATGTGTGGTGAATCCCAGGACCTAGTTCTGAAGTTTGCATACCCATTTCCCAATTTTTCTGCATGCATTTGTGATACGTGTATACTGCTTAAATATAATACGGTCCATGAATAGCGAATAAAATCTTGAAGCAGTTTGAGATATGCAGAGAGGGACAGTAGCCTTTCTTCTACTAGACAAGGTGCGCCTTTGTGAATTGACATCAGGTGCTGTGCAGGTGAAACTCCCAACAGAGCTCAAGCATGACGGTCACTGGCTGGTCCCAGCCTCTGACCTGCTTCCCTTTCTCTGCCTCCGTGATCGCCCAGACCCATCAACAGCTAACAGTGGGATTTGGTTGCCAGCTGCCTGCCTGTTTGGCGACCCTCCCTGGCACTCCGTGCCCATTCTGCACCCACATCTTCACTCCTCCTCCCTCCCCAGTGAGTACCAAAACAGATGTGACTTTATGTGTGTACCTAGCATATACGAGGCATGTCCAGAAAGCAATGAGAATGATACTTTAACAATTCTTTTATTGAAAAATGTTACAATTGAACATTGTCTCCTTCAAAGTATGCACCTTGTGAGCCTACACAATGCTCCCAGCGATTTTTCCATTCTTCATAGCATCCCTGGAAGTCTTCTTTGGATGTTATCCACACTATCAAAATGGTGTCCTTTCAATCCATTCTTCATCTTTGGGAAGATGAAAAAGTCGCAGGGAGCCAAGTCGGGGCTGTAGGGTGGATGGGAAGCACCGTGATGTGTTTTTCAGCCAAAAACTGTTGTACAGCCAAAGCACTGCAACTCGGTGTGTTGTCATGATGAGGGATCCGAGCTGAACCATCTCAACTTGTGCCATCGGTACACTTGGGCTGATGATGGCACAGCTTCTCCATAAGCTTTCCCCACCATTGCCAAAGCTTCCGATGCACTTTTATCCAATTTCTCACCATTTTAGGGTGTCACAAAAGAGGATGTCTCAACGCTGGCAGGACTGGAATGCAACTGATCCATGTTCCAGCGCATACCTGGCACGACACCCCAAGTGACCTTGGCCAGCTTCTCCCTTCCCAGAGCCTTTCTCGAGTGCAGGGACTTCATTCTCATTACTTTCTGGACACACCTCATATGTTCTCTTTTCATTTTTGTTCTGGAGCAGGTAAAGAGTGCCTGATGCAGATCTTTAATGCCCCCTGTCCCCTTGCCTGGGTCCTAGTCCTGCCCAGGGACCTGCACCTACTGAAGGGTAACGAAGCGGCAGCGGCCAGACCCAGACCCAGCACGGGCCCGGCTTTGGCGGCAAGCGCTCCCTGGCGTGCTGCGGGGCCACAGGTGCTGTCTGCTGCTGCTCCGCAGGAGGGGAAGGAGCCAGCCAAGTGCTGATCTGTCAGCATCGCCCTGGCCTGCTGCTCTTGCTGGGATCCCGACAGACGATGCCCAGAGGCGCTGGCTGAGGTCTGGCAGTGGTGACTCATCCCGCCAGAAGTGGGATCACACGGGCAGATGTTGCGGTCACCGCGGCAGCAACGCTGTGGGATCCCCGCCGTCAGGGAAACATTCCCAGCACGTCCACTGTGGGAATGCAGAGCGAGACAGACCTTGTCCTGGCAGGCTTCAGAAAGAGGCACCGGGTGGTGACGGATGTTTTAACAGTGGGCTTCCCCTCTCCTCCGTGTTGCCAAGCTGGGGAAGACTACGCAGAAAGCTTAGGCTGGCCACGTGCACACTGACAAAAAGAGAGGAAATGCATTGCTTCCCCTGAAGATGAAATGCATTTGTGTAAAATGTGCACATGTAACTTTTTAAGTATAGGTACAAATTCTAAAATGACATATAAAGAAATACTATCCATCTCTTGATAGTGCAGGTGAGCGAGTGAGCTGTCACTCTGCTATCCAAGCACTAACTGTGGGTGGACAAGCTGAAGACTCTGGGTGCCCTCCCTTCTTATGGTCTTTGCCTTTAAACTGGACTTGGACTGGACGGCCCTTTAAAACAAGGACTCCTTCAGACAGAGGGCTGTCCTCTGCCAGCTCTTCCAAATAGCAGTCTGCCCTGTCAGGTAGGACGACTGGCCAGCCTACTTCCCTCTGCAAACTGAATGTGCACCCTGGAGCCCAAGGATACAGACACACAGACGTGTGATATTTAAACAGACACTTCTGTGCAGTGCAATTTTTCCTTTGTTCAGTAAGTCTAATGGAGATTCACAAACAGGAGTCCATCTAAAATATTGGGTATCATCAGAAGTGGATCTCAGTATCTAAGCTGAGGGTCACATGACTACACAGCCCACTATACAAAATCCCCTACACATACTAAACTAGTGATGGGAGCAAAGGAAGTGGTGGAGCAATGACTACACAAAGGATGTTTCTTTCCAGCAAGCCCTCCTTATTCTGGAGAAGACCCTTCCCTGCCCCTTTCTAGGAACCTCCCTGCTTGCTTGCCAGAGCCAAGTCCTCCAGGGGAGAGGAAGCTAGGCTGCAACCTACTTCCGGACAGCTAGCTTTCTCTCTGCATGGGGCAGGGGTGGGGAGCATCATGCTGTGCTGGCCTTCCTGTGCAATCTGAATTGGTAGGTTCATAGGTTCACCACCATATTCAGTGTCAGTGAAGGCTAAACCTTAGGGTTCAGATGGGCATCTTATGGCCCGGTAATTTTTTGCCTACAATACCCATCATGCCTCCACATCGCCTATGCTGGATTGCGCTGTTGGCAGTTGTAGGTCAAAACAACTGGGGGGGGGGGCACAAGTCTCCCACCCCGTCTTAGAATTATAAGGCTTTCCTGCAGAGAGAGAGAGAGAGAGAGAGAGAGAGAGAGAGAGAGAGAGAGAGAGCGAGCGCAAGCGAGCATGTGGGAATGCAGCATCCTTCAATTTGGTGATGTCCTCCAGATGTGCTACACCACAACTCCCATCACTCACAGTGGCCCAGGGAGCTGGGGATGCTGGTGTCTGTAGCACAGCACATCTGCAAGGAGCCAGCTTGAGAAAGGCTGTGTGATTGCTTTCCAAGTTTACTTTCTAATTCCATTTTCCCTGCTGTTTCCAGAGATACACACGCACAGCACATGGAAGTTGACACCGGCTGCTTGATCAGCAATGCAGGCTCCAGAGCCGGTGGGTGCTGACCTGTTCTGACACGGGTGTTCCTCGTGCCCCTCTGCGCCTCCTGGCCAGTAAGTGGCCTGCCATCAGCGAGGAAAGCGAAGAAAAGCAAGCAAGTGCCCTTGTGCGGAGGTCAGCAAGCGGAGGAAGTAGGGAGTGCCCTGGAGCCATGGATGGAGATAGGCAGATAAGAGCTGTGGAATCTCTGCCCTGCCCCAGGCCTGCTGGGACACGCTCCGCTCCGGAATGTTCCTGGATTGCCAGCAGCTGACAGGATCTCAGTTCCCCACAATGCTGGGATTGTTCTTGTTCTGTTTGGTCTGACACCAGGCCCTGCAGGAGACAAGCAGCCCTGGGAAGTGGCCACATCAGTTAAAAAGCAATAAAGAATGTGGGGAAGGAAGACTCGTTGCTCCTTCGGGCAGCCTCCTGAGTCTGTATGGCCACGATCTGCTCATCCCCAGGGGGCCTGTGCTCTCTCACCCCGAGAAGTTGATCCTGCCAACTGGCAATGGGCATATTGCCCCATGGAGTAATCTGCATCATAGAGCTTGGGGAGGTGGCCGTCCATGCCCACTCTGTTGCAGAGGAAGCAGATCAAAGAAGACAAACGCACTCACATGTACTGATCTGCAAATCTCTTTGACTCTGAAGTCATGCTTTCAGTGAAAGTGCACAGCAGGTAGAAAAAAGAGCACACTTTCACCTGCCTGCACTCTCGGGCATGGCTAGAGGCCCCTCTCACTGGCCTGCCTCCAGGCCAGGCTGGCAAGCAGGAGGGAAAAGGAGCTTTTTGGAATTGGCCCCTCACGCCTCAGGTTCCTTTCATCACAAATTCAGCCTTTCTTTGCAGGCCTGCAGGGAGCTCTAAAGACCCACTCATTCACGTTACCCTTTTCTCACATTGTCTTTTTGGGGGCTGCTGGTTTTACTTGTAGCTGCTGTTTTTATCACTTTTCATAGTTGTGCTGTATTTTTACTATGCATGCAATCTTGGGAGGATTCCACCCTTAAAGAGAGCCCAGGAATAATTTAAGCAACCAACCACATTAGAAAAGGTTTCTCCAGACCTTCCTAAAAAGTCAGAAGTTCCAGGATAAACATCTATTTAAGACTTATGGTGCCTTTGTAAGGCTTGTTTATTTTTGATTACCAGAAGGCTGCACAATAGTTAGTTTTGTATAGAAACAGCAGCTTAATCCACCTAACTCCCCCACCCCACAGACACACACACCCCACACAAACACACCCAGCTTGTTCAATTAGCCCAGTTGTATCCCTTGTCTGGCTCTATGGAAACTAAATCACAAGTTATGCAAAAGCACAAGCACAAGCACAGCACACAGCTTAGTCTCTTGCCTGGTCTCTGCTCAGAAACAGGCGTGCAGGGCTCCAATCCGGATCAGGACCACCACACCTGGGTAGGTAGTTCTGAAACCGTTCCTTCCCAGCCATTTGTTTTCCTAAATCTGCCCCTCTACACACACCGAACGGAGGTGGTAAAGAGAAACGCCTCCATTGGTGCAAACGTCTCCCAGATTCAGACTGCCTTCATTCCTACTGTCTTGGATCACCCTGAGCGCATGGATTTTCCATTCAGGAACTATCATGAGCTATTAACTAAACAGGCTGAAGGACAAGCCATGTTCTAGCTCCTGGTAAACAGGCAAGCATATGCATTCTGCAAAACACTCACGAACACACAGCGGATGGCAGCCCAGAAAGGTTGTGCCACCTTTTACCAAAAGACCTTCATTCAGAGCTATTACAATAATCAACACCAGCAGAGTTCCAGAGTCATTCTTTAGGCCTGACGGTTGAGGTAGGTCTCCATCTCCTCCCAAGAGCTGATCTGGGTGCTTGTCTGCTGTGTGCAGCACCACCAAAAGTCTCTTGAACAAGGCAGCTCACAGGCGCAACAGTCAAAGCTGCTCTGCTCTGGGCCACAAAGAGATCAGAGTCCTTGAAATGTGACGGCCAGCAGTGGATCGTCGCCCTGGCAAAAGGCCTGCCGGCAGCACTGCAAGAGGCAGCGCATCTACTCTCAGCAGGAGGAGGAGCAGAAATGCAAAAGCGGAGGAGCAACGCAGCATGCAAAATAGCAGGTCTACTCAGACAGGGAAATGGTGGCTACCATTGTAGCTCTGCCACTGCTTTACTGGGCTGCCTTGGTCAAATCACTGCTGTTTTGTTGCTGTTAAACACCACCACAACAGTTAATATTCAGTTTCATGTATTATTGGAACATACATTTCTTAGTCAGTTATCAAGACTGCAGCCTTCCAAAGTGGCTTGCTGTATAAATCCGTAAAATTCTTTGGGGCTGGATCCAGATTTCAGCTGTATTGGCAGAAGGGGGCTTCCCCACTCCTTCCTTCCCATGGTAGCGCCCGAAAATGCTACACAGAGTCAGAGGACCTTGCTGGATGGGTGTGCTGTGGTGAGGGGGGATCCTCCAAAACCGGGACCTTCCATGAGTGGCGCCTTTCCTCCTGTGGAAAGCAGATCCTGGATTCAAGCCAATTATCAACATATCATGGTGCAAACCGAGCGCCGAAACTACAGGGTGTAAAATATCCAGAGGCCTTTACAAACTCCAGAGCATACACTGAGGTCTCAGATAAATCAAGCAAGCAATTCTGAAACCAACATTAAAGCAGCGAGCCACTCCGGGCTTTAGCACCATCTCTAGGAAAGACTGGGAATGTTGCTGGACCCATGAGACTGTCCTGATGGCTAGAAACTTGAATAAATTTCCCAGGAGCCTTTTTTCTTGTGCAGTATCACGTCTTGAGCCCTGTCTTCTATAATGCCCATTTTGAGAAAGTGAGGCTCTGTTAAATCAAGGTAATAATCTGGAAAGGGAGACCTTGCTTGATTATGCTTTATTGCCTTGTGAGGCTGGCGAGGGGGGTTGGTCTGTGGGAGAAGAAAGAAGTCCATGCTGGAAATTGGGAGGCGATTCCCTCCTGGTTGTCTCGCAGGCCTCAGTCAGACAGTTCTGGGACGGAGTTCATTCTTCTGATCACAGCAGTAGTCCAAAAGTTTCCCTGACAGCGCATCTCCCCTCGCTCTGGCGGCTCCCGTGCCTGAAGCCAAACCATTCTCCCAGGCACATTGACAAAAGCAAGCCAGGAACCATTCCAAGCCTCCTGACAACTAAATGAAACTCTTCCGCTCATCGCTGCCCAGACTTCCCTGGGCCGCCTCCTCCACAACAGATGTGACTGCGCTGCGTTGCATAATTAAGCACTGGCCATCGCAAGGCAGATTAAAACTGAACGATGTTGTTGGCCTGGATCGGTGGAGAATGCAGGGCGCCCACAGCAGTTCTGGGCAAGGGCAAGGAAGAAACAGTGATGCTGAGTCCCCCACGAGTCCAGCAGCACGGATCCCATCCCTCTTCATTGCAGTTGGCTCTTCAGATGGAGAGGAGAAAAGCCTAGCCTGGAAGAGGTTGCAAAAGGTCCCCCGAGGGCTGCAGTCCATGCTGGAGTTTGGACAGGAGGAAGGGGTGGCTCCTCTCCCTGTTTCCTACTTATCCTGGGGGCAGCACTGCCTCCAGACATTTCGTGCTTGAATGCAGCCCATGTGAGGGAATTCCAGCTCCCCAGTTCGGGTCATGGAGAGAGGGCAGAGCAAGAAAGGGGCGTCCCCTCTTCAATCTGCTCCCTCAAGGCCAGCGGATGTCACCCCACTGTAATGGTACATCAGGCTAACATTAAGTGGAAAGGTAATGTCAGGTAGAGCAGTGCTGGCTAGGATAGGCTGGACGTGCACATGGTCTGCATGTCATGAGTGGAGCTGGCTAGAGCTGGGGGTCAGACTAGATGGCCTGGGAGGCCCCTTCTGACTTGCTCTGTTTCTCTCTGTTTCTGTTGCTCTATTTCTGTGCTGAAGAACAGATTCTTTCTGGATTACTTGCCTCCCCCAGGCTGGTACTCACCTGATCCTTGGGCATCAACTCCCGTCCAGTGTGGGCAGTGGGCAGGAATGCTGAAAGGCAGCCAAAGCACCCAAAGAGCACCAGGCTGGCAACGCTGTTTCAGACCGGTAGTTTGTCTAAAGCAACATCCTGTTTCCCCACAGTGGCCAACCAGATCCCCCTCGGCAGCCCACAAGCAGGGCAGGTAGGCAGCGGGCCTTTCCCACGGTCCTCCCCAGCAGCTGGGACTTGGCACATGGAGCTGCTGAAGGCTGGCAGTGACCTCCAGCCATCAGGACCTGCATGAAGAAGCCCCATGGACTCCAACCCTCCTGGCCAGATTCCGAGGAAGGCAGAAAGTTGTTCTTTATCTGCTAACACAGCACATTTCCGTTGTGAGCATTTCTCTCCCTGAGAAAGCCAGTCAGTCCCCTGCCACCCACATGCTTGAGCTGCCCTGGGCCGTGGAGCGAACCCCCCAGGGCTCCAGCCAGCCTGGGTGTGGGGGCGACCAGCAGCTCTTGTGGGGGTGGGGCTGGAGAGGATACTCTTCAAACCAAAGCAGGTTTAGGTTAAGCCGGCCTTCCTGAATCCAGCCTCCAGCAGGGCTGTTGAATGAAAACTCCCATCATCCTCAGCCAGCACAGGATCCTGGAGTCCAACACATCTGGAGATGCTGTCCTGGGGGATGATGGCTTATTCAGATTCATCCCAAAGAGAAATCAGCCATGAGCGTAAGAAGAGCCCTGCTGGAACAGGCGCGGTCCATCTCGCCTGGGCTCGGTTCACGCAGCAGCTGACACAGGAAACCCACGAGCAGGGCTTGAGTGCGACAGCACCCTCCCGCCCATGTTCCCCAGCCACTGGTGTGCATGGGCACGCGGCCTCTTGCACTGGAAGCATCATGGCGCCATCAGGACAAGGAGGCATTGCTAGCCTTCTCCTCCCTGTCCAAAACGGTGGCCCGGCATGCCTTGCAGGGGCAGATCTCACAAGCGAATGAATGACGCGCTGATGAGGGAGCACATTCTCCCGCCTGTCGGTGCCAATCAATTATGGAGATACTGCGATGTGGCAATATCTCCGGGAAGGGTTGTTCCTGTGACAGGCCCTCAGGCTGTCTCCCCAAGTATGGCAGCCTTCCGGATGCAGGTCCTCTCGACAGTCCTGCTCAGCTCTTGCACTTCAAGACTGCAGCTTCGTGTACGGAGCTGATCCACCTCCTATTTGGTCTTCCCTTTCTCCTTCTGCCTTTGACTTTCCCAAACTACAGCAGCTCCAGTGTCACCATTTTTTGCTTTCAGAGTAAGCTCTGCCTGGATTTGATCTTGGACCCACCTGTTTGCCTGGAATTATTTGGGACTTACCACATCTGCAACATTGGCAGGAGGGATGGCCAACCTGGCTCTCTGCCAAGAGAAAGGCCTCATGCAGAAGGGCCCGTGAGCTCGTTAAGAGCCCTCCCTTAACTTTGCAACCGGAAGCAGGGCAGCTCCTTCAACCCAGAAAGCGAGGGGGCCTTGCAGCTTTCTCTCCATAGGCACTTGCCACGTTTGTGCACTGGGGCAACACGGCTGAGGTTGCTGACTGCACGCCACACTCAGGCAGGGGTGGCGGCAGGGGCAGCAGTGCACCATCAGGGCTGCTTGAGCCACGGGAGGCCCAAGGGGCCGCTGGGCTCTGCGGATGCTGGAGCAGCCAGAGTGGAATCAGAGAGGCGCCCGCTGTGGGGAAGCCTGTACAGGCCCTCTTGCCAGCTCCTTGGGATTTTACGGACTCCTGTTGACAGGCAAAGCGTAACCAAGCAGTGGCGTAGATCTGGAAGTGAGGGTGCTCACTGGGACAGTCCCCATAGCTGCACCCCCAAGGAGAGGCCACAGATACAAGCAGCGAGCTGTGTTGATCCACGTCGGCAAGACAATTCCAACAGTTCTTGTCTCCAGAGAGAGGAGGCTTTGACAGATGAATGCGTCTGAACTGCCTGTTTGAAGTCAGCCTGTGCCTGCAAAGGCTTTACAATTTGGCAAGCAGCGATACAGTGTCTCTGGGAAAAATGGTTTCTCCCATGACTATTGTGGGGCTTGCAGCAAAACTCAGAATGGATAGGGGTGGTGGATGGGGGCAGCGGGGGGGGGCAATGAGGGCAGTGTGGTGGCAGATGGGGGCAGTGCCCTGCTAATGAAAAAAAGCATGTGCTGCATCCCTGGGAGCCCTGGCTCCATGATCCCCTTGGTGCCCTTGGCCTCTGGGCTGACGAGGAGGACCCTGGGTGCCCTGTGCTGGGTCACTCAAGGAGCAAAGCCAAAACGACTTCTTCCATTCCAGGCCAGAGCTCATTTCTTAAAGGAAATGGTAATACAGGGCGATGGAGCTTTGAAGCAGGAATGGAGTGGCGCCTCCTGGAATCTGCTCCATGCTGCACAAAGGCCTTCCTGCCCTTCAGGGTGAATAAGGCTGGTTGTGCAAAATGCAGCTGAAGAGGGTGAAGCGGCTCGGTACCACATCGCTGCTCCCTCCATTGTGAAGGTACAGCAGCTCTGCAGCTTGCAACCTCCCGGGTCCCCACTTCGGTGCCTCAAGATCAGAAGCGTCCGCGTGTGGAAGCATCCCAGGCCCCTGAAGCACACCTTCTGTTCGCTAGGCCAGAGGCGGTGTGGTGCCGTTGTTTCCTCGACCGACCGTGGCTCCTTAAACGGCAGACATCCCTCCTGCCGGAGTCCCCCGCAAGAAAAAGGCAGGATGAGAGCCACTTGGGGCTGAGAGGAAAGAAAGGCAGCTGCTAAGCGGCCAAAGCAGGTTGCCGGCTGGACCTCGGCCACAGCTGGGCCAGGCCTCTGCGTCCTTCCTGCGGTGAGGCAGAGCGACCACCCACGAGGCCGGGCCGAGCACGCCTCAGCCCTGAGGAATCCGAGGCCTGTTAGCCAACGGAGCAAGAGGAAGGCTCACTTCCCCGCAGCCCAGCTCTCCTCCTTCCTCCGGCTCTCCCCACTGCCTCACGCAGGAGGAGGGGAACAGCCAAGACCTGCCTGCCTGCCTGCCTGCCGGGCTGCTTTCAGCAGCTGTCCCTGGGAGAAGGCAGCAAAGCTGAAGGAGAAAGCAGGAGGGAGTGGAGGAGGAGAGCCACGCAGGAGGCGTCGGGGCCAGGCCAGGCTGCCGGCCCTCGCAGGGGAACAAGCCCAGCCTTTGTCTGCTGTGCAGCTGGCGGGGAATGCCGAAAGCAGGCCAGGTGTGGAAAGGGGATCGAGGGCAGGCAGGTGGGCAGCCCATGCAGGTCCTCTCCATGGATGCCAACAGGCTCCCGATGGCACCCACTGGAGTGTGAGGGCCAAGCCGTGCATGGCGTGGGAGCCATCGCTTGTCCATGTGCCAACCTTTGGCCTTGTGCCAGTAGTCGCTCGGTGTTTGTGTGGGGAGAGCTGATCAGGATTAGGGCCATGGGGAATGGGAGGGCATGATGAACCCTTCCCTCCCCTGCCTTGGTCCTGGTAAAAGTCCCCCACTGATCCAGGGGTTCAGCATATGCCCTTTCGCCTGCACGGCTCCAGCACCACAGGAAACGAGATGGTTTCCTGCACCTCAGAGGCCAGGCCAGGCCAGGAAGTGAGAACCCCTTCGGATGTTGTTGGATTACAAGTCCCAGCTTCCCTAACTATTGGTCAGGCTGGCTGATGAGAGTCGAACTCCAGCCATATCTGGTGGGTTGCAGTCAGAGGTTTCTAGCTCCTGAGCTAGAGCCATGGGAGGCAGCAGAACGCTGGCGCTTCTCCGCAGCTTTGCACGACTTTGCACAAGTGCCTTTGCAGAGGGTTGCTGGCCTCCTTGTGCAACATCCCAGCGAGCTTCAGCTCAGTGCACATAGCACGTGCCTTTACACCAGCGTCAGCCAGGTGTTTCAGCCTGCGCCTGCCATCCACCCCAGCTGCACAGCCAACGGCCAGGGATCTGTTTGTCTGCTGCCTCCTTTCAGGGCAGGAGCCCTCCCAGAGTAGCATAACACAATGGAACCAATATGGTGAAAGCCAATGCTTTAAGAAAAACAGCAAGCATTTCAAAAAAGAAAACAACAAGGACCAGCATAAGACAGCTTGCAGCGTGGCTGCAGCCAAAGCTACTCTGATAAAATAGTGAGAATGCCAGAGTGAGAGACTGCAATGACAGCAGACTAAGGGCAGCATGTTCCGGAGGTGCGGGGCACTGTGGCGAAGGCCCTCTCTTCTGAACTCACCTACCTAAGCACCCTCAAACGTGGGCAAGTGAGAGGGCTTCTCTGAAGAAGATCCTTCACGTAGTTTGGTCTCAAATAATTTTAGGCTTGCTTTGACTTATGAGGCAAGTATTTAAACTGGGTGTGAAAGCACACCAGTAAGTCTAGGCCAAAATAAGTGCAAAGCCAAGTCTATAGCCTTGGCTTATGCATTGGCTCCTAGCCAGTGCAGCCTGGCTCCGGGCCTGGATATTTTGGACTGCACCTCCCAGAGTGCCAGAAGAGGCTGGGACACATAGGAGCTAGAGTGCCAAAATCCAGAGGGCCCAAGGTTGGGGGAGGTTGCTGGAATGAAGGCACTTCAACAACTCAGTGAAGTCAGAGAGTGTGGCATCACATGGCTCTTCCTTCATTTTCACACATGGACAAGCACGGCTGGAGCAGTGCAGAAGCCCACGAGTGCCTGGAAGAGGAGAAGCCCATCCCTGGATCCATGCCAGGCCTGGGGGACCCCTTCCAGCCTGAGGGCCAAAGTCCACTCCAAAGAAACTCCCACAGGCTGCCTTCCATTGTGGGTGGAGCCCGAGGCACAAGGGGTGTGGCCAGAACACTCACAATACCTAGAAATTTTGGCTGAAAGCTATTACTGCCAGGACCCTCATCTTCAGTGTAAGCTTTCAGGATGGGGAGAAATCTCTTCAAAAGCCAGGAAACCACCAAACAGCTGGGGGCCAGAGGCCAGGGGGCATGGCCATCTGGGAAAGCCCAAGAGGACCTAAGGGTCTGCACTCCAGCCTATTGCCAACGGCCTGATCAGCAAACATCAAGGGCCAGACACAGGGATTCCTGGTCACTTGAGTACCAAGACCTGAGGGCGAATTTGCACAGCCCAAATGGTGCAGAAGCAGGTAGACTGCGTGGACTCGGGCAGTGTTTAGCCCACAGCGATGGGGTCTTGTGGTCACCTCCACACATACCTGGCCTGCAGTCTCACCTACCTGCACTGAAAGGATGGAGGCCAAATGTGGGTCAAGTGGTGGTAGAGGAAATTTGCTTTGCATCTCATTGGGAGCTGGGGAGCGCTGAAGGAACCCACCTCCCTCTCCTTACAGGCCCCTCCCCAACCCACAGGTCCAGCACTGTGGGTCAGCCCTCCAGCCCTCCGCCCTTCAAAGGGAGGAAGATGCAGCTCCTTTGCTCTGTGCCGTCTGCAGAAGCGAAGAAACCACGTCTGACTAACCGTGTGCAGTGTGAGGGCTACGTGCTGTCCCAGACAGGGGCGGGCCAGTCGGCAGGTGGGGCCAGATCGGCAGTGGCGGGCAGGCTCCCCATGGCATGGTGTCTGGAGGGCAGCTGAGCTCCTCTTGGATTCCACTTGGCCCAGATCTAAGGATGACTAATGCAGCACCGCTCAAAGGCAGCGGCAACCAGGCAGCTCAGCTTCGTGCCTCCTCCAAAAGGCATCTTAATTACCAGCCCCCGAGGGCACTCTGGCACGCTTTGAATTGGAAGGACTGCAGACAAGCCCTGTCTCCCGAGATGGGCATGCTCCATGGAGCCTCTTGGAAGGAGTTGGCATGCCAAGACTCTGCCTGCCCGTGTATAGGCAGCAGCGGATTCGAGACTCTGGACTTAAAGGATTTAATCCCCCACCTACCCGCAGCCATAGACTTTGGATGATAACCTGAATCACTCTGCTGCCTTCAAAGTGTGGTGAGCCAGCACTGCTTTCTCTGGGGCCCGCTTCCTCATTCCGCTGGAGGGGCCCCATGAAGTCACCCCAAAGCCCTGCCCTGATGTCACCTGAGCACAGGCCACACACACCAGTCTGCCTCCACTCCCAAGTCTCCTTTGGCCCATGGGGTTCAGCAGCCCAGGATGCGATTTGGGGCCAGCTATAGGGACGGTTTGCGGGAGAGCATCCGCCTCACCTGCGGGGGCCCAGATACAGTCCCTGGCATCCCTGGCTAGGGCTGGGAAAGACCTTCTGCGGAACCTTTGGGGAGCCACTGCCAGTCAGTGCCAGCACTGTGGAGCTCCGTGGACCTCTGGTTCCCTCCAGAAGGCTTGAGACCAGAACCCCCGTACTCCAAGCAAGCACCACAGAAGGCCATGTTGGCTGAAGCTGATGCGGGTTGCAGTCCCCGCAGGTCTGGAAGGCGCCAGTATGAGGCAGGCTCCTGTGTTCCTTGGGACAGCGCTGTCATTACGGTGCACACAACACCCCTCTTACTGCAGTGTTTAATTTAGGTGGCCTGGTGATTTGAGCAGAAAATGAGTCTTAAAGCTCACCAAAGATGAGAATTGAGGATACTGAGTGGCTCTGTGCAGAATATATATGGCAAATAGCTGTGACCACCCTGTGGTGTCATGTCTTGGCTTTGGTGGAAAAGACAAGATCAACTTGAGAAGGTCATTTCTAAATTCCAGTGCTGCCTGAGGTTTTTTTGTTTAGTCGCAAAGTCATGCCCAACCCATCGCGACCCCATGGACAACATTCCTCCAGGCTCTCCTGTCCTCCACCATCCCCCGGAGTCCACCCAAGCCCCCACCCACTGCCCCAGTGACTCCATCTAGCCACCTCATCCTCTGCTGTCCCCTTCTCCTTTTGCCATCAATCGTTCCTGGCTTCAGGATCTTCTCCAGGGAGTCCTTCCTTCTCTTTAGGTGGCCAAAGTATTTGAGTTTTATCTTCAATATCTGGCCTTCTAAAGAGCAGTCAGGGTTGATTTCCTTTAAGATTGACTGGTTTGATCACCTTGCGGTCCAAGGGACTCTCAGGAGTCTTCTCCAGCACCACAATATAGATATGAAGAGCAGGATCTTCTCTCTGGTGGCCCCATGGGGAATTTCTTGCTACAAGCAGCACACCAAACAATCCACTTACAGGCATTGGTAGGCTGGTGGAGACAGTGTGTGAGAGACAGTTTTAGGATTACGATGTGGGATATGGGATATATTTTGCAATCAAATGGAAAAACAGAACATTTTGGGATGCAATTTATACATATGCATGCTTTTCATAAATAAATAGACACAATGTGTGCGACATTGTCAGGAAAGGGTCCCATGGACAGGAGGTGATTTCCATAGCTGTCCTGAGTGGTCAGTCAAGAATTAAGCTCTTCCCCCAGCATGGCACAGAAACGTCCTTCGAAGAGCGCCTGCCAGGAGGTCAGCTGCATGTGGCTGCTAACGACGTTCTGGGCCGGCAGATCATGCTCAGAAGTTGCCCCCTTGCTCTGGCCTCTTACTCGGGCATGGATCAAGGTCTGTGATTAGCCTTCCCCAAAGTTGTGCCCTCCAGATATTTTGGATGATGACCTGCAGCACTGCCAACAAGGGCCACAATAGGCCAGGCTGGCTGGGGATGATGGGAGTTGTAGTCCCAACTCTCTGAAGGGCCCCAGGTTGGGGAAGGCTGCCACATACCCTCAGCACGCACACCCAGCCACCAGCCCCTTTCCTTAAGATAAGCAGCAGAGAAAGGAGTGGCAGAGAAGATACAATCTCTGAAACGTGGTGAGGCTGGCTGCTTGGGCTGCTTTGGTATTTTCCCAGACTCAGTCCCCGAAGTGCTCCGTGCAGGTGTGGGTGGGCTGCAGCTGAGCATCTGCAGCGCATGACTCAACAGCCTCCTTGGATCTGAGTCACACAGCAGCCGTGTCCTGTTCTGCAGCTGGCCCGCGGAGCTGACTTAGCAAAGCCCCGTGAGCCAACGATACGTTTGGGGTTGATGGATGGCAGCCTTCCTCTTTGCAGCCCTCACGCCATGCGACCTGCCCTTGCCTGAATCCCATGCCGCCTTGCTGAAACCAGGAGCAGGCCTGATAGGCATGGGAGGAAGGGATGTTTCAGCTTGCCAAGATTCGCTGAACTCCACTCCAGAGCTCAGATCTCCTTGCCTCCAGTTCCTCCGCAACCCGTTTTTCTTTTTCCTTGAAATGTACATTTTTCACAAATGAACACATCCCCTACTGACTAATGCATCACGCCATATTAGAATGTAACCACAAGTTGGGGAAGATGCAAACTCCCCCAGCCCATACACTTCCATTAACATTTGGGATTTTTGAATGAAGCTCTGATGATTTATGAACTAAAATGAAATTTTCATACATCTCCTACACTTCAGCCAAGGCTGTCTGGGAAATCCATGAACGCCACCTTGAGTTCAATGGTGGAAAAAAGGTGGGATGGGAAAACACTGGAATGAATGAACGAACGCATGAATAACTAAGTCAAGCAGAATGAACAGGGGTTTCTCCTGGGCTTGCATGCATTGCTTTCATTCCCTGGCATGGCCAGAAAAGAATTTCTCAGGTGTGTTTGCATCTATTTTTAAAAAATTAATCTGAGTTTGCTGTGGTATGTGAACCTTTAAACTATAGTTAATCCTAATTAGGATTAGTACAAGAGTGATGGCTAAAGCTGGATTGTTTTTGATAGCTACATCTTAAATTACTTAAAATTTCTGGTAGGTGAGAAATCTATTGGCTTTATATTTTGATATATGAATATTCAATGTATGCCTCGCAACACTGGGAATAGAAGGTACCTCATTATCAACATCAAAGAAATGGGTATATTTAAAAAATGTGAACAAAACTATTTCTCAGTGAAGAAAACTAGGCATGTTCACAAAATGTGTACAAGTAAGGCATACATTTAGGAAAATGTATGTGAAATATGAACAAATTTCAGCGGGGAAGGAAAGGTACCCAACGCTAAAGATGCTTAGCAATGGAAAAATGAAAGCAACATGAAACTGAGATTTGCTGTTGTTCATTGTGCTCTGTTTGTTTTTCAGCTTGTGACACTGGAGTTTCCCGTCTGCAGAACCGATAAATGACCCCGTGTGCATGGAGTGTTTAGAAGACGTTGCGACCCTCCAATTTCACTTCCATTTATGAAAAGCACTTTCTATGAGACGTTTTCATAGCAGGAAAAGTGAGGTAGAGTTTCTATTGGTGAAAGCACGTGCGAGTGCTTCTCCGTGTTTGCACTATTCCACAACACTGCAGCCCACCTAGTGGCTCACCAGCAGAGAAGCAGGAGATGCTCATGGAGCGCACGGACCTCGGTTCTGTGTGGAAACAGAAAGTAGCTGCGGCAAATCGACAGATTCACGAAAAGAAGCCACTCTGCCTGAGAGATTCTCTCATTCCCCTTGGTAGCAGTTTAGGGCAGCAGGAACCTCCATGGACCACAAGCCAAATCCAGGGTCAGCAGCAGGAGAAACTGCACCAAATGGAGGACCCAGCCAAGCGATAGGAGGCTGGGGGAAGGCGGGAGGCCAAGGGAGGGCTCTTGGCCACCCGGGTAGTGCTGGATGGGACAGTGGCAGGGTCAGGCTGGGATTCCAGGCGTGATGTCCCCCCTGCCCCCCTTTGGTCACTGGGTTGAACCACTGTGCTGGAAAGAGAGGGAGGGGGAGCACACCAGCCCAGAACCCACCAAGGTGCTCCTGTGCCCGCAGGGCAGGGGGCAGGGAGGGGCCGACAACTGCCAGCGTTGCCTTCTAGAGATGTCTGGATGAAGCACCTTGTGTCTTCGATTATTGGCATTGCATCCCTCCTGTCTACCAAAGATCAGGCACTCAAGTCCATCCAGTGTTGACCTGTTCTCTAGCGCAGCACATCTTGCAACCACTGAGGTACAGCCTCATGCAGATGAAATCACCAGCACCACAGAGAGGTCTTGTTCATGATCAAGAAAATCATTTGCAACGGGTACAGCAAATGAGCAACCACCACCACGCTAGAGTCATCTATGATGGGTGAGTTGTACATATTGCGACATAAATCCAGATGTTTCACAGCAGTGGGCCATACACAGTGCTGCAGGACAAGAACATAAAGAGCAGGGGCAGTCCTGAGCAGCTGGGCTAGTGGAAATATTTCTTCTGACTCACAATGTGATGGTCCCTATCCAAACCTTGGTGCCCTTTAGTACCTTTCCTTCTGCTAACTTCTTTCTTGATAAAGTTATCGCTTCTTCTTTTCTTTCCCAAAGGCACTGGGAAGGCATTTCTTCTCTTTCACTGGCACCAGAAAAGACCTCTCCCTGCTGGAAGTTGCATGTATCACAGTTTGGGTGGAAATGGGCAGCTGCTCCCCGGGGAACCCAAGCCTCTTAATGGAGAAAGCACGTTGAATTCGGGAATCTAGCAGGGCGGGGTGATGGGTTAAGAAGACCTTGGCAAAGAGCTTCACAAGGATTCCTTTCAACAGGCGGGGGGGGGGGGAGAGGGGACTCCACATCTGGATGCTGACAGAGGCTGTCTTCCCTCTCTCTTTGAACAAGGCGGTCAGCTCATATTTATGCTGCGTGAGCCAAGCCAGCCTCCCACTACCCCCAGAAACACTTAGCCACCTGGCCATGTTATAAACCCAACTACAGCTAATAATCAAACAGGAGAGGCCTGCCCTGACTGGATGGAAACATATACGTGCGCTCCACACACACACGTGCGCTCCACACACACACACACGCGCGCGCGCACATGCACACACGGACTCACGCACGCAGGGCAGCCTGCTTCTCCTTCATGCCTTCTTGCTGTTGTCACATACCATCAGGTTGACTCCAGCTTATGACCCTGGGAAGCCCTCCAAAATGCCCCGTCCACGACATCCTTGCTTAGCTGCTCTAAAGCCCAGGCTGAGGCTTCCTTTATGGAGTCAGCCCATCTCTCATTTGGTCTTCCTTTCCTTCTTCTGCACTCACTGTTCCCTAGCATGATGGTCTTTTTGAGGGAGCCCTTGCCTTCCCATGATGTGAGCAAAGTATGACAGCCTGTTTTGCTCTGGGATGATTTAATCTAGGACTCACTTGTTTGCCTCCCTGAATCCAGAGCTCTAAACCAGCATAATTGTGGTCTCCAGAAGCTGTTGCCCTAGAAGTCCCATAATCTCCAGCCAATGGCCATGCTGGCTAGTGCTGATGGGAAGTAGAAGCCCAACAACATCTGGAACGCAATGAAATTTCCTGCTGATGTTCTAGCGGCTCCAATAAGGGATTTCCAGATTCAGATGTCCAGCAGCTGGGGAGTCAAACCACTATTGGGTTAGCCATATTTTTTTTCTGGGAAGCTGAACAAAACCCCATTACTGGCTAGGAAGCAAACTCACGGGATTTCTTCCACCATAAAGATGGCGAATCCAACAGGTTTGTATGTATGCTTGACTGCTTTGTGCAGTCCTATGTTGCTGCATAGATTCTCCCTTGGCATACCTTTCACGAAATCCCAAGGTCATCTTTTATGCGTGGAATCATACTAGCTATATCAGATATGCTATCCTATTAGCTTCCTTTTAAAAACAGGGCTCTCTCTTCTTCAAAAAGGTTGGGGACCCATCCCAAAAGACGGAGGGGCTTCTTCAGGAGGCAGGTGCTCTCGCGGTGGACACTGGCCAGCAAAAGGCTTGATTTCCTCCAAGATCAAGCCCTTGTGCTGCCTGCTGACAGGTGCTGGAATTGGCTGGGTGGCTGCTGATTTACTTCCCAGCCCCAACCCTCTGTGCTCACTTTACTGTCCAGGACAGGGGAATAATATGGAGGAGCCTGTTGCGGAAGCAGGCAGGGCAGACAGAATGGGAGAAGACTGGGAACTAATGAGGTGGGAGAATTTATGGAAAAACTGTCTGAGAGGGAGACAACGGGGTGCATTCAGCATGGAAGGGGCGGGGAAGGGGAAGGAGGATGCATTGGAAATCCTGCAGTGTGAGCTCAAGGGCTCTTCATCCTACTTTATCCCTTCTGAGCCTGGGAACCTGGAGCTGTTCCTGGGGTCTTGCTCTGTGCAAGCTGATTGCCATATTTGAGCAAAGCAATCTCTGCCTAATTGTGCCTGGTACCATGACACCCACAGGCCTTTCAGATGCCGCAACC